ACCTTGAGATGAAGTGATTAGGAGAATGCAAATTCTTCCTCTCTGAAGCCAACCTTTTGAAAATAAGCCCTGAGGAAAGAGACCCTTTGTATACTAAATATCTGCTTCTGTATAAAATGGTATAAAAAGGCAACTGAACACATTGAGTGTGCAACTGCTGGGGAGCTGAAAGCCAAGAGTGGATGCCCTCGCAGAAACATGGTTGAGGAAATACAGGTGTGGTCACCCTGAACTGTGACACCCACTTTATAGTAATTTTATCTAGACCATGTTTCCCTAGTTTGCTTAGGAGAATGTCATGTGGGACTGTATCAAAAATCCTAAAATCAAGATATATCACGTGTACTGCTTCCCCCATATCCACTGCACCAATAAAACTCTCAAAGAAGGAAATTAGGTTTGCTGGCATGATTTGTTCTTGACAAATCCATGCTGGCTATTCCTTATAACCTCCAGGTTTCTTCAAATTGTTTCTTTACTAATTTGTTCCATTCTTTTTCCAGGTATAGAAATTAGGATGACTGGTTTATAGTTCCCTGGGTCCTCTTTGTTCTCCTTTTTAAAGATAGGTCCTGTCTTTGCCCTTCTCCTGTCCTCTGAGACCTTACTCTTCCTCCAGGAGTTCTCAAAGATAATTACTAAAGGTTCCAAGATTTGTTCAGCTAGTTCCTGATTTGGTGGTCTATATTAGAGCCCTACCATGATGTCGCCTTTATTTTTCATCCCATTTACCTTTACCCAGAGACTTTCAACTGCTCTGTCTCCCACCTCCTTCTGGACCTCAGAACAAGTGTATATATTCTTGATGTACGATGTATCATCAGTCCAATTTCTTCATGCCTGCCCTTCCTGAATAAGCTTTTTGAAGTGTGGACACCAGAACTGAGCACAACATTGTAATGTTGGTCTGGCCAATGCCATATAGACAGGTAAAATAACCTCCCTACTCTCACTCTTCTCTTCACACATCCAAGGACTGCCTTAGCCCTTCTGGCCACAGCATGACCCTGGGAGCTCATGTAGAGTTGCTTGTCCATTGTGAACCTTTTTCAGAGTCACTGCTATCTTGTAATGTGAGGAGTGGGATTTGAACCCACACTCCTTAGAAATGAGAGCACACAGGAAAGAGAAAAAAAAAGATCCTTGAGTATGCTGTCTCAACAACTCCAGCCAGCCTGATGCTGGCTGTTAGTCACTCTATAATGCTCACAAGTGTGCCAAGCTGCACTATGCAGTGTGATATGTGTTTGCAGTTGAAGCATGAGGTTGTAATTAAGGTTCTGCTTTGTACTGTAAGGGAGATTATAACTGTGGATGCCCTACTTCCATTAGCACCTCCTGGGAGACCAAATGCCTCAGGGTGCGGCTAATGCATTACAAAGTCTGCACCTCTGGGACACCAGCTGGAATCCAGCCCAGCTCAGCAAGGACTGACAGCTGTTCCCATCCCATCTAGTCGAGATCTGGTTTGCCCTGTGTGAGATGAGTTTGGTGAGTCTCAGTTCCAGTTCCCACATCACAGAGTGACCACCTGGCTTTGCACTGATTGGCAGACTCAGCCTATGTGACACCGTCTTTACCAAGCCTCCGCACCTAAAATTTTAAAACAAGAATCCCTAACCTTGAGTTTGATGGTTTACATCAAATTTTCACTAAATGAGTGCAGTAAACTTTCTCTCCTCTGTTTTCTTTCTTTCTTCTTTCTTTTTTTCTTGGAACAGCCTTTCCCCTCTTCCCCCTCCCCCCCCCCAATATTTTAAACTCTGGTAAACATATTTTGTTGTGTGTGTGTGTGTGTGTGTGTGTGTGTGTGTGTGTGTGTGTGTGTGTGTGTTGTCATCATAGGCACTGACTGCAGGGCTCGAGCACCCATGGGGAAAAAATGGTGGGTGCTCAGCACCCACTGGCATCCCCACTGATCAGTGCCTCCCCCTCCCTCCCAGCTGTTGCTGAGGGGAGAGTGGGGGGGCATACTCAGGAGAGGGGGCAGAACAGGGTGGGAGGAGGTGGGACTGGGCAGGGCAGGGGCAGGAAGAGGTGGGGTGGGGGGTTGGGGAAAGGGGTGGAGTGTGGGTGGGGCCTGGTGTAGAGCGGGGGTTGAGCACCCCCCAGGAAAGGACAAAGTCTGTGCCTATGGTTATCATTATTCATGAACTCCTTGTTCAACTGACCGCAAGTTAGGCAGAAAACAATTGTCTTCAGCCATAGGCTTAACCTATTAATTTTGAGTCCAATATTCCTCAGGTTGTGGATTTTAAAAGAGGGAGCCATTATATGGTTTAGCGCTTATCTACGGTTAGGGGGCTTATTCCTTCAACTTCTCACTTCCCTGGTCCTTCTCGCATGAACAGAGAGCAACAATACCCCAAGTCCGAAGGTGCAAACAATTTGATGTTTATTGGGGTGAACTTTCAGCAAGCATGATTCCAGTTTCCTTCCTCAGTGTCCCCCTCCCCAGTTTTGACGCCACAGAGCCTTGCCTGTGTCCCTGTTCCTGTTCCCATTTCCCCCCTTAGCAAAACATTATTCCAATTCCCCCACCCTCATTCCTTGTTCCCATTCCCATTCCCCCCCCCCGCACCCTTACTTCCTGATTGACTGCAGATTATATAGTAAAACTTGAGTTCTGGCTAGCTATACCTTAACCAATCATGTTACTGAAATTTAAATAACCAATCCTAACATATTGAAACATGAGTATTTAACCAATTATATCCCACCACCTTAATTCGTTTACAACCAGCAACATTAATTATACAGCAGACAGAAACAATCACAGAACCAGAGATTATATAGACAAACAACAGGGAAGTGAAGACTCCAGTGATGGAAGAATACAGAAATGAGGATTTCACATCCCAGCTATTGATAAGTGAGTTTTTGCCAGACAGGATGCTATCAAACTAAGTTTCCTTTTATATCTTCTAGGCTCTTTCCTTTCTCTGGAGGTGATAGGAATATCAGCACAGGATTGTATTCCTAACAGCCCAATACCACCTTATTTCAATGTGACTAGTTTGGAATGTAAGGATGTGACCATACACTTCCCAGTTTATGGCTGTGTAGGGACCCAGGATGGCTGCCCTCCGAACCTGAGGGTAAAGGGCCGCTCTCTCAGCCTCAGTGAGCGGGGCCAGGCCAAGCTCGCTCCACCCCCCGGAAGGGGAGGGGTGGAACAGGAGGTATAAAGGGCGGGGCCCTTAGCTCAGTCAGAGCAGCACCAGGGAGGGAGGCAGATGCAGACCGCGCGGGCTGCTCCCTTCAGACCCTGCTGCCACACCAGGGGAGGCCCTGGTCCAGTGGAAACCTCACCTGGAGGGACTGGAGGAGCCGGAGGGGGAGCTGGAGCTACCAGCAGCCGAGGACCGCGAGGAACTGGAGGAGCCTGAGCCAGAGGGGGAGCTGGAGCTGCCAGCTGCTAACTACCCTGACGAACTGGCGGGACCAGAGGGATTCGGAGGAGCAATCGGGTAGGAAGTAGCCCAGGGACAGAACTGCACCGTGGTGAGTCTATATAGCGGAAGAACCCCACGGACTCAGTGGCGGGACCCTTGTCCTGACACTGTCAGGGCCCTGGGCTGGAATGCAGTGGTGTAGGGTGGGCCTGTGTTCCCCTACCCGGCTGACCCATGTCGGGACCATAACCCTGACAGTGCCCCCCTGCCTGAGGGGCGCATTCCGGACGCTGGCTAGCGCTCTTCCTGCCGCTAATTCCCCAGTGGCAGAGGCGTAACCCAGGCCGGCCAGTGACGTTGTAGCTCCCCACCAGCCCCTAGTAGATCGGTGGACCGACCGACGCCGCTTACAGGCTGCCTCTACTGCTTAGCCAAAGGCTTAGCCTAAGAATAGGGCCTCAGACTGTTACAGTAAGAAAAGGCCCTTACACAGGCAGACAGTGATTTTGATTCTTTCTTTTATACCTCTACAACTAGCTAAGTCATAAGAATACACCTAAATTCTTAAAGTATAGGCCTTTGCAGACAGGCCTGCATATCTATATCCTAACATCTACATCAGTGGTTCTCAGCCAGGGGTAGCGTATCCCTGAGGATACATAGAGGTCTTCCAGGGGATACATCAACTCCTCTAGATATTTGCCTAGTTTTACAACAGGCTACAGAAAAATCATGAGCGAAGTCAGCACAAATTAAACTTTCATACAGACAGCAATTTGTTTATATTGCTCTACATACTATACACTGAAATGTAAGTACAATATTTATATTCCAATCAATTTATTTTAGAATTGTATAGTAACCATGAGAAAGGAAGTAATTTTTCAATAACAGTGTGGCTGCAACACTTTTATATTTTTATATCTGATTTTGAAAGCAAGCCATTGTTAAGTGAGGTGAAACTTGGGGGTACGCAAGACAAAATCAGACTCCTGAAGGGCTTACAGCCATCTGATAAGGCAGAGAGCCACTGAGCTAAATAATTGCAACCTTAATTGTGAAGGGGCTACCTTCCCTCCAGGATATTGCTGCTACAAAATTTCCTGATTAGGTCAGGTGCACAGCTATTTGCATAAATGAAACCCTCATCGCTGGAGGTAAAATAGGGAAAAACCCTTAGCTATCTTATGTTTCAAAACATTATTGTTGTTGGAAATCAACAAATTCCTCAAGTGGATTCAGACTCCCTTTGAGAGGAATCCATACTGAATTATGTCTTCAACTATCTCTGCTGAGATGAAGACAGATATATGTATGAGTTGGGTATATACATGTGTGGGTCTTCCAGAAAAAATTAGTTGCTTGGGTACTAGTAAACTGGCGTCTCCTGATGAAAGGGTGTAACTGAAAGAGGGAGGGAACTATACAGAGGTGGGTCTTTAGATTGGAAATTCACCACCTCTAGAATTTTTAATTACGTATTTCTCAATATTTGGAACATACTGATTGGTAGGAATTTTTGAACCACCTTTTTCTTTTGAGCCAGCCTTCTTCAGGCTATATAATGAAGGTTCTCACCTGATGACTTGTCCTACTGGTGGAAACATGGACAGACTCTGTAAGTGAAACGACTGCACTGGGAACACTGCTTTGGGGCTGGTAAAGATTGCCTATTAGTCCATCTTAAACATGAGTTCTTGTTTTGCATCTTTCTCTTTGTCACCTCATACTTTTCTTTCCCTCTTCTTTTCAGACAGGTATGTTTTTGGATTTGTTTTTCAGTGCCACTTTCTGCTCTGTAAGGGTTCATTCCAAATGCCACTGAAATTGATGAGAAGATTCCCAATAATTTCCATGAGCCTTGGATCATGCCATAATGGTAGCTAGTGTGGTGGTGGTGGGGGGGTTTGTTTGTTTGTTTTGAGACTGAGAGAGAGTGCATACCCATCTATGTGGGTATTTCATGGTACAATTAGGTCATCAAGGGCCTGATCCTCAACCATTGAAAACAATGGGAGTTTTGTCATTAACTTAAATGGCGGTAGGATCAGACTCTGACGTTGTAAATACATTTATTGTCATTAACCTTGTATAATCCTCTGAGCGAGTGCACTAAGATGTTGGGGGACCCATTTACAATTTCTCTGCTCTCCTCAAAGCTGTGGCACAAATCAAGGACAATGTTCTAATGCTAGAGATGATTCCATGAGATTCCTCATGTGCTTAAGTTTTGTAGGATCAGTGTTTAAAGCAAGTCACATTATTCAAAGGAAATTGTTGACACTGTTTTTTTTCCTGAGTGAAATTGGTGCCCATTTCAAAAGGAAAAGGGGGGAGGGTGTTATTCTGTAGTTCTTTGGGTAATCAGTTTGTACCTGTAATTCAGGGCTGGTTTGCTGCACACCCTTATCTGGATTTTAGCTCTGCTGTGGACTGATTTGTGTAATTTCAGTGATGCCATCTGGATTTCAGAGAATGAGTTTGCTTCACTGACTGCATTATTCATTCACTGCACCATGCTTTTCTTTGTGCATATGTCCCCAGCACTTTCCAGGCTGTTTCTCCTTGTGGCTGTACTATGGTCTGAGAGTTTCTCTAGATTTCCCAAATCTTGCCTTGATGATCCCGACTACGATGAGCTGGTGAAGATTGCCGAAAATGGGCTCGGAAAGGCAGCTCATTCAGTGGAGGTGGTCATTGTAGGGGCAGGCATAAGTGGACTCACTGCTGCCAAACTGCTCAGAGATGCCGGTCACATGGTAATTCTATGCACAGAGGTGTCAGAGCAAGGCAGGGAGTCAGTGCTGGCTTGAGTATTTTTCATTATTTCTTTTCTGAGAAATAAAGGTGATTAGGCTAAAGAATGATTAAAAATGAAACAAGGGTAATTCACATGAAAGAAATAAAAGCCTCGTTGACAAAGGAAGAGATTTTTCAAAGGCAATAATGGGACTCTGGGTGCCAAACTCCCATTGTATTTCAATAGGATTTAGGCTCCCTCTTCCCATTTCTGTCTTGGAACATTTCCCTGAACCTTCATTAATGTAAAGCTGGAGGAGTTACAGTAACTATCGTAAGAAATAGAAAAAGGAACAAATCCCCAAAAAGCTATATTTTTCAAAATAACTCTATCCATTAGAACGTGACAAGTTACAGCAATATACTTTCAAATTCCAATATCTGTACAGCGCATACATTCTCTCACAGAAATCTAAGCACGGGAGAATTGATATGCTATTGGTAGCCTTCACTCTGCCTTCTTTTTACGTTCTTTACATGCCACAATCAACAGGGGTGAATTTCAGTCCAGTGAAGACTTTAAATGATCTTCACCCCTGCACAGAGAAGTCAGTGCAAGACTTATGAACTATTTAACTTCCACATAAATCCATTTGTCTTTAAGGCTGGGATGTGCGTAGAAGCCTAGGGAGTTGTAAATCCCAGTCTAAGCTCTTTGTGAACTCCAGTGACCCTGATTATATGGAAAACTTCTAGACAAAATGTTCAAACTTGGGTGCTTAAAGTTAAGCAACTACAGGAATGTTACCCAAAGCACAACAGCAGTTAGGTGCAGCACCATTTGTGCTTTAGAAAATATTCCCTCTAAATCAATAAATTATACCAGCATATAAGGCTGAGACCTTGCCTACACTACAAATTCTATTAGTATTCCTGCAGAGTTTAGATGCAGCTTATGTTGACAGAAGGAGGTGTTTTCAGTCAGTATGGTAAGGGCACCTCCCAAAATGACATTAGCTATGTCAACAGAAGCACTGTTGTGTTGTCATAGCTATGTTTACACTGGGGGTTTTTTTGTGTTTTTTTTTGCCAGCATACTTATGTTGCCTGGGGTGTGTGCTTTTTTCATACCCCAACCAACAAAGCTATGCTGACAACACCTGGGAGCATAGAACTGGCTCTCAGATTTTAAAGACACAGTCAGATTTGGCATCACTCTGCTCCCATTGACTGCAATGGGTGCAGTTCAACCAACATGGAGCACTTTTGAAAATCCCACCTTAAATAAATGGGTGCAATTTTCAGAGGTGCAATGTACCTAACACATTTATTGGTTGAGTTAGGAACTGGTGGGTGTGGAGACATCAGGGTCTTATTTCATTATCTAGTTGCCCGAATGTAGATTCAGTTGTCTAATTTTAGTCACCAAGGTTTTGAAAGTTTTGTGCTTTGCACCTGCTTGTTCCATTTTCCATGCTTGTTCCTAGGTTACAGTTCTGGAAACCAGTGGTCATGTGGGAGGACGAGTCAGGACCTATCGAGATGAGACACATGATTGGTATGTGGAGTTGGGAGCCATGCGTTTGCCAAGCACCCACAGATAATACAGTTTCCACTCCTCAGTCATGTAAGTTGTTTAGGAAAAGAACAGCCCAGTTTTGCAGAATTCTGCTATGGTTAAGGATGAGATCCAGTATCCTAAAAGAACTTGCTGACTAGTCTCATTGACATGGGTGGGATCTGGCCAGTAGTAAACAATGCACTCAGCAATAAGTGTTTTCAGGATTAGGCCCTAATTATGGAACTGATGATTAGTGAGAGCATGACTGAATTTCCATGAAACCATCAGAAAAACTCCCATTGATCTTAATGGAAGTTGTATCAAGCCCTGAGTCAGAATAAAGCCAGACAATAGATATTGACTGTTCATCAGCCAAAATGATTTAAACTGAGTTGCACTATTTCATAAAACACTTTACCCAATGGTTTTGAGAGGAAGTATATGAACAAAAATAGAATAGAATATTTTTTCAGAACAATTATATGGAACAAAAGCTTATTAAAAAAACAAACACCAGTACCATAAATATACCCTGACTTCAAACAAAACTACCATGAACTCAAACTACAATTTAGAAGCAGAACAGCGAGATAGGATTATTATGTACAACAGCTGTAGTTACCAGTTCATGGGCCAGCCAGCCAGCTACTACATACCAGGTATCTCCATTTAATCAATGGAACTACATCAGTTTAGACGGGGATCAGGATCTATCAATTGATCTGTCTAGCTATCATCTATCTATCATTCCTACATCATTAAGAACATCTGTTGGAGTCAGGAAGTTTCAGGAAGGGAACGAGACAAATCACATATTTACCTTACTATTTTTATAGTCAGAGCAGCATATATCTTGTTTTCATATTTTTTGACTCTCTCCTTTCTTTTTCAGAATTGTTCATGAATTTATTAGGCAATTTGATCTTAAGCTAAACAAGTTCTCTCAGACAGATGACAACGCCTGGTATTTGGTTAATAGTGTCAGGACAAAAGCTGGGAATATCAGACAGAACCCTGATATCTTGAATTTTACTGTGGCTCCCTCAGAGAAAGGCAAATCTGCTAAAGAACTTTATGTAGGAATTCTGCAGAAGGTATGTTTATTGGTCGATTGTATAAAGGAAAGTAAATTACCAGCCTGATTCCAAAAAATGGCCCTAACTTCTACTGCAGCACAGGGGATCTCTTCTTCTGTAGTATGTGCTGGTCTCTTTTCCCAACACATCCCTTCTCAACACCATTCCAATCCAGAATACATCCTGTGTTAGGAGAATCTGTGCTATAATTCCCCTTGTTGTGATATGAAGGGGATTTACCAGGGCAGATTATCTGGTCCTGTTTTTCTTTCACTTTCACCCAGGTGAATCAGGAATAATGACATGTGATCTGACCTTCTTCTCCCTCCCCCCCCCCCCCCCCCGAACGTGTGGATGCTCGGCACTTCTGAAAAGTAACACCTCTTTTTGTTTCCTACTCAGTGAACTCGGGATCAAATCCTGCCATTTAACTACAGCAGGGCTGTAGACTATGCCATGCAACTCAGTTCCATTCACTGGGGTCTCATGGATACACACAGGAATTAGGGTCTGGTAGATAGGGCATTGCATTAGGACTCAAGAGATATGGGTTCAGTTGCTGCCATAGCTATGTGCTCTGTAAAATGGAGCTGATTCTTCCCTACCCCAAAGGAATATTTTGGGAATAAAATCCATCGGTGATTATGAAGCCTACAGATATCATGCAAGTACCTAGGTAGTTATATAGGAGAACAGAATTTGGTCCTGTGTTTTTGTGATCATATTTCTCTTTCTGTCTATGAATGTTTCCATGCATGGTTCCAACACAGGCCTTAGAGCAGTTCTGGAGTCTAGATTGTGGAGCGTTGCTGGATCGGTATGACTCCTTTTCCACCAAGGTAATGGATATCGGCCTTTGAGTATCTTTAAATCCAAATGAGTATGGAAAGTCTGAAAAAATTGCTCTGAGAGAGGTATAAAATGTGCCTCTTTATCCTGATGAAACCTAATGATGCTGGTTTTCATGTTGAGGTTATCCTTTATTCAAAGCACCAATAAAGGAATGAGGGAAAACAGCATATTATGAAGTTCTGCACAGTTTATTGGGATTGGCTTCTCCTTTTGGCAGCCTCAGTGGGCAGGGTTTTGTTTCTGGCCAAGATTATGGAAAATAAAGGACTAAGTGCCAGAAATTTCATATTTCCTTCAATTATTATTTTAATATTGTTATGCTGGAAGGTGTTAATGGTGGCGATCAAACATATCTTTAGTCTATAGGTTAGGCTCAGACCTGGTTAAAGTTGATGGGCATGCTAAACACATTTCATTCAGTTTAAATGGGAGAAGCAATTAAGCTCCTTTCTGGAGTTAGATAGCTGGAGGCAATGGAAGCCACTGCCCAAGGCCTTATCAAGCTGCATGGGTAGGCCAATCATAAGTGGGGGTTGAGGGTTTCCCTAGGATTGATTGCAGAGGTTAGGTGGCTGATTGTTTGCAGCCATGTCTGTGTGTGTGAGAAGGGGAGAAATCCAGGCGAAACAGAGAGTAGTAGTGATTAACATGGCCCTTTGAGGAAAACAAAAGAGAGCTGCTTTTGGTCACAGTATTTGCTGGAAATGCAGACTTCGATTGCTGAGCAGGGACATTGCCTCCAGTTGACTGTTTCTACTGTGTTCAGGGAAACAGGACTTTGTATCCATTCTTTTTAAATAGACAGGATTGCAGCAAAGAAAGACCTGACTCACATCGTCAATCTCTCCTTCAAACAGAAAGAACCAGGCAAGGCCTTGGATATTGGCAATGGCTCAGACCAAAAAGGGGCAACAATATCATCACCATATAAAACTTGAAAATAACCTTTTATCTTCTCCTTCTTCATGATAGTCAAATCTTTCCCCAATGATACCTCCATAAATGTGCCTCTTGTGCCTGAAGAGAGAACAACTTTACTCCCTTTCCTCCACTCCCAGGAGTACTTGATTAAAGAAGGGAATTTAAGCCATGGGGCTGTACAGATGATTGGAGACTTGATGAATGAGGGTGCTGGATTCCACAGGTCATTTCTTAACTCTCTCATGGAGTTTAATATCTTCTTTCATGAAGACAGGTGAGAAACAAATGTACTTAAATTGCAAGGTTTTTGGGGTGTCTACATTGCCAGTGGGCTGCCCATGGCAGTGAGTCTTCTAGGAGAGGTTGAGAGACTTAGGCTAGTGGGGATTTTACTAGCACTGTACAAATAGCTGTGTAGACAGCACTCTGAAGTTGCAGCTTGGGCTGGAGCTCGGGCTCCGTAGCCTTGGGAGATGGGTGGGCTTGAGAGCCCAAGTTCCAGCCCAAGCGGCAACTTGAAAGCACTGTCTACACAGCTATTTCTATAGCGCTACTGAGAGCCCCACTAACCTGAACAACAAGGAGTCTGGTGGCACCTTAAAGACTAACAGATTTATTTGGGCATAAGCTTTCGTGAGTTAAAACCTCACTTCTTCGGATGAG